TATATATATATATAGGTGTTTTAAGAATTATAGCTAACTATTCCATTGATTATTGAAACATGCTGCTCCTTGAATGATTGAGCTTTCCTGAAATTATTGTCAAAATATTATAAATTATTATATGTTTCTATTTCAATAAAATAAAATAACATCCATGCAATGTGCAAATTGGGCGGCTAAAAGAGTATTAGACTCTCAGAAGTTTAACTTTTCTATTATTATTCCTCTGGAGTTGAATCGATTGATTAAAACTGACGTTCTGAACATCCCTTATATTCTCACATATACGTCTTGTTGCTTGGAGTTGTAATCGTAGTTAAAGGTTCTTAAATTTTCGTTTTTCTCCTGAGTTGTATGTTTGAAAAAAATATTACATCAGTACTAAGCACGTAGAGTAACGTGTGTAGTAAATGAAATCACGCCACGACACCCCGTGTTACTGCGCCGCTTTTTTCTCTATCGAGAATATTCCCCGTGTTATTCAGGTGTTATTGTATGTTTATCATGTGCTATTGTGTCATGAAAATATTCTTGGTGTTATAATAACACAATAACACATTAATAACACATGAATAACACACAATAACACATAAATAACACGTAATAACACATGAATAATACAGGGGGGAATATTCCCCGTGTTACTGTGCCGTTTTTTTTTCTCTGTCGCCCGAGGTGTCATGGCGTGATTTCATTGGCAACGCACGTTAATTCTACGTGCGTAGTACTGATATAATATTTTTTCGTATGTTTGGGGGTGTTTAGTAGAACTATTAGCCACCTCTTTGTAATTATTTTTTTTTATGAAATAAAATTTCCAACGAGATTGTTTAAAAAAATGCTTATTGTAAAAAAAAAAAAAAAAAAAATTAAAATGTTGAGAATAATTTGACTCTCTAATTTCAAATCTGGAATTTTTTTAACAAAGAAAAGCTAATCAAATTCTAATTATGATAGGTATCAAAATTATTGATTTTACTGTAAAATATGTGCAACACCTAAACCCCACCCAATTTCTATTTATTTAGATATCTAAAAACTAAAAAATTCATATCACATTAAAAATATAACTACCCTAAACTTTTAAAAAAATGAAATATACATTTTTATGAATGGATAAAAATGGTATATATATGTAAACATTAAAGTGGTATGTATTATATTTATTTTAAAACAAAACAAAGATTTTCGTACTCAGCAGTATACGAGTCTTCTTTTTTCAAAAAAATGAGCCCTAAATCAAATATATATATAGTTAAAGTAATGACCAGAGTTTATTATACGAGCCTCCAACCACCCCTAATGTACCTAACAATTCGATTACCCCCTCCTTAAAGCCAACTGTCCTAGAGAAGATTTGAACCCCCGATCTGAGGGGTCTTATTCCGTGTTTGCCAACCAACAGACAGGAGTACGCGACACACAAATATATATATATATATATATATATATATATGTGTGTGGGTGTGTGTGCGCGCACACAAGCCTTGGTCTGTTAGTGGCGGGGTCACTGTAAGTCCCTTTAGGTCAAGAGTTCGATCTGACCGTGGCACGAGAGCTCTGAAATTTTAAGCACATGGTGCAAGCTCTCATCATGGGGCCAAAAAATACATGAGAAATCGATTTTTGGGCCTCTACCAAATATTGATTTCCTTTTAAGTTGCAAATTAACCTCCAGGAATAGTTTAATGCTGTAAAAGAAGGGAAAATAACATAAGCTTAGCATGAACTTATAAATACCTACAAAAACTTCAATTCAGGTCAACCTAAAACATTCATTAAAATAAAAAAAAGGAAAAGAAAAGTGCAAATCTGCAAATAAAAATTACAAAATCCATGAAAATTTTGCATACTTGTCAAGTGTGAAGGCATGGATTTATTCAAGGAGTTTGAGGCATTTCATCAGTGAATCTGTGTGCTCAGGCATTCCAACAGAGATCCGAACATAGCCTCTCAGTTCTTTGTTATTGTAGTGCCTTATCATCACTGCCATATTTGCAAGATCTTCCTGTGAAATGGAAAGTTTAACATATGGACAAATATGCAAATTAATGAGTTTTGGAGTTTATTTGGTTGCTTCTAAATAACAGGCACCTTCAACATTTTTCAAATTCTCACACAAATATCAATGTTCAAGATAAAGAACCCAACCCATATTTTACATTTTTTGTCGAACCCTTGTTAGTTTGATCGCAGAACATGCAAATGCATTGGTTTAATAATAGTTTAAGAAATCACCTGGGTGCTAGGTTTGTAAATAGCAGTATCTCGAGTGCTACGTATGTAATTATCGGTAAAAAATATTACCAAGTTTTTGTTGCTCGAAAGCCTTTTACGATGAAGATCTGGGACGAGTCACCGTTGCTAAAACTTCAAAAGATCCATACAATAATATAGTTAATTCAGTAGAATCCCTAGAGCAATTTACACTGTTTTAGGGCTTTTAGAAGATGTTTAGGAAACGGATATAGTGGGTAGGTGGTTGCAAAATAACAAGGGGACGATAATATGGGAGATCGATGGCGTTCGAAAGGAAATAGGGGTTGTTTGACGGCATCCGACTGGAAAACAAGGCGATGAGAATGTTTCGCCACTTGTTCTTCAACAAGTTACAAACATACCACTCACAAAAGAAATAGTATATAATATTTCTTAGGGCAAAAATCAGAGATTAAAATATCAAAATTATACAAAACAAAGCTTAAAGGCCAAAGTCATGCAAAACAAGAAAATAATAAGCTATAATAGCCTTCTCTCAAAATAATCCTAATACTAATTAAAAAATAAATAAAAAGTGACAGTGAAATAGTGGGAAAGCCCTGCTTGCCTTATGTGCAGGATTGTGGAAATCTACTGGAACACCTCTACCGGGATGGGATTCAGTCCTGGTTCGCCATCCTACATTTGGGATTGATTCCATGACCTGAATGGTGGGATTTCTGATCTCGCGATTCCACGAGAAGCTCTCACATTAATGATATAACTAGCAAGGCGATCGTCTGTAGTCCTAGGTATTAGACAAAATTAAAGCAACTCGTCCATCAAGCCTTCAACTAGTCCAAACAACAATGACACTCGAGTTCTCCATCACATGTTGTTTTTGTGAACGAGGACACACTCTCAGATCATAACATTTTCAATGACATGGTGATTCTCAAAGCAAGAATCTAAAAGCTCAAGATAGTGTCAAAACCTCATAAACTTCATTAGCTACGGTGGTATTCTCTACCTCCACATCCTAGAGAAATAGGGCAATGATAAACTAACTTGGGAAATTTACATACGTAGCACACAATTCTCATGTATTTATATGTCTCACACCTAAAATTGCATATTTACACACAGCATTTTGTTGCGTAAACCTATGCATAAAAATGTGTATTTTAATTTTAAAAAGATGGTGGTGATATTTTTGATGTGATGTGAAAGATTTGAGTGATATGCATGTAAATATGAATGATTAGGTGTTGGACATGTAAATACATAAAGAATTGTGTGGTATGTTTGTAAATGTCCTAAAAAACTTATACTTGATAAAAGCATCATTGATTGGAATTCTTTGTGTAGACAAAGATCCCATATGTGTCATTATCCGCAGTCTTATCAAGTGATAATAGATGCTATGAAGGTAGGCTTGTGAATTTTGTGATCATAATTTTGACACATTGCCTTGATTATTTGAGCCGTAAGACCCACGATGATAGCCACTGTATCCTGTTGCTCTCGTCCCACTAGAATGGGGCCCATACTCTTCCTCCTTAACTTCAATCTCAATCCCGAAGCATGGTCTCCATCCACATACATAAGTTTCTTGTGATTCTAGAAACTATGGAACCTATTCTCATATCACGTTAAATTATTTTTCTTCTTCCCATTCATACAATGCCCACATAAACAAAATTGGTTTGATGTGAAAAAATGGTTGTGTGTCAGCTAAGAAAAGGAAAACAAAGACCCAATTAAACAACACTTGTGACTTGAGGAGAGAATGAAATGAGGGGCAACTAGCTTTCTTAAGTGGCTCTGATACCAGAGGAAAACCCAAACCACAACTCAAAATTGCAACTATTATTATGGGACACCACAAGATTACAATGAAGACTCTTCAACAGAAAAAACCATAGCACAGATTAATAATAATCGACAACGAGGATTGCTGAAATTAAGGAAAAGACAATAACATAAAACATAAACAACCCTCTATGATGGGTACGATAGGGTGAGGATGGAACAACAACGTTGGCGGCCACGAGAAAAAGGCCGGGAGGGAAGGATGTTGGATGCTGAGAGGAGTCAGACAGGTGACCTGAAGGTGTTGGAAATGACCAACAGCCTGCTGGAAAGGAACCGGAGGAGACAACAAAGCTGGCGGGCTGCTGAGAGGGTTGGCGATGGGGTAGGGAGGAGCTAGAAGGTGGCTGGCAGTAGTGGAAGGGAGTTGTGGTGGCTGGATTCTGAAATGATAGTAGGGAAACGAAAGTACGTTAAGAAAAATGCCTTGTCGGGGTTGAGCTACAGCTGGAACTTTATTCGGACCCTTGGAGACGGTCACAACCTAGGACGAAGGACAGCCGGAGCACATCTTCGCCTTTGGATAACCCTTGAAGGGAAGAATGCCGACAACAGTAACCTGAATTCAGAAATCTCTTAAATTCAAAAACATAGAAACTCCAAGCATACCACCTCTTATTTTTAACGAGGCTTACGATTTATTTTAGGCAATATCTCAAAATAAGGAAGAGAATAATAATAATAAGTTATAATTTAGGCAATGTTTATAATAAGAAGAATTCAAAATTGGTAAAGGCTAATAAAAATAATAGAAATTTAGAATAGGCAAGTGTTAGCAAGGAAAGATGAGAAAAGGAAAGAAAGGGGGAGCACGGGCAGTAACCCCACCTTCAAAAGCGGCCGTTCGTGTTCGGCTCGTTTTGGCTCGAAATACTACTAATCAATTATATGAATAACACATAATAACACCTGAATAACACGAGAGAAATATTTCCTTGTGTTACCGGGCCGATCACCTCCACGTAGGGTTGTCAAAATGGCTCGTTGTTCGCGAACAGCTCATGTTCGACTCGATAAGAAGCTCGTGTTCTGCTCGTTCGCTAACTTAACAAGCTGAACGCGAACAATACGAACCAATATTTGTTCGTTCGTGTTCAGTTCTTTTTGGCTCAAAATACTACTAATCAATTATATATATATTGATGATTTGTATTTTTAAAAAAATTAATTGACTACAAGACTATTAAGATTTATAATCAATTAAAAGTATTAATGAAGAAAATAGAATAAAAATTATCAAATTAGATTAAAATAATTTTTAAATCTTGCCCCAATCTTTAACATTTTATGACTACGTGATTAGGGGTGTCAAAAGACT